CCCAAAGTGCTGGGATTACAGGCGTGAGCCACCGCGCCCGGCCTTCAGCTCTTAACCTCACTCTTTGTGTCTGCATCCTTGATCTCCCTGTAAGATAATGAACCTGTCACCCCAGACGAGGCTGCTTTATTGATAAAGGTAATTTTTTCCTGAGAGTTAACACAAGTTTTCAGCAGTATGTTTGTGAAATTACTACTCTAAGTAAATTGCATTCCTTCGAAGGGTGAATGACAAAAAGCTACTACATTTTAACAAGTCTGTTTTTTTTTTTTTTTTGGAGACGGAGTTTCACTCTTGTTACCCAGGCTGGAGTGCAATGGGGCGATCTCGGCTCACCGCAAACTCCGCCTCCCGGGTTCAGGCAATTCTCCTGCCTCAGCCTCCTTAGTAGCTGGGACTACAGGCACGCGCCACCATGCCCAGCTAATTTTTTTTTTCTTTTTAGTTTTAGTAGAGACGGGGTTTCACCGTGTTGACTAGGATGGTCTCGATCTCTCAACCTCGTGATCCGCCCGCCTCGGCCTCCCAAAGTGCTGGGATTACAGGCTTGAGCCACCGCGCCCGGCCACAAGTCTGTTTTTATACTACTGAAGTTTCCACAAGTAACTACTATATTATAGTTTATATAGTGCTAATTATTCATATCTAATCATTTGATAATGTATGTAATGTAATATGTAATTAATTTCTCTATGTAATATTTGTGGACTACAATGATGAATATTGGTTATTACATAGAAATTACTTGTGGATTTTTGTGGGAGCACTCTGTCACATTATTTAGTATAGAATATAAAAAGCAGAGATGATAGGAGCTACAATACCAAACTCAAATTTAGCCAGTCCACTAATATCAGTAGAGAGTTACTTTAATTTTAATCTACTTACTAATTCATTCATCAGTCAGAAAAGCAGCTCTTTAGTTAGAAGGATACTTTATTTTTAGACGTCCTGCAAGGCCTTTTGATTATCATATCATACTCATTTCTCTTTTATAAAGAACGTCATATACATATATATTCTCAGTTAAAACAAAAATTTTGTCACAAGGTTATTGTAATAAATATGTAAAAAGGCTATCTTTGGAGCCAAAAGTTAATATTAAATGTTCTATCAATAATAAATATTCTATCAATAGAATAATAGAATATTAATAATTAATATAAATAAATATTAATATTTAAATATTCTAAAATGTGTTAAATAATAAAGATGTCTGTGATTTGAATGGCACCCCTCAGAGGAGGCCCCCCCATGAAGGATCTCACATGAACATTGCACACACCAGCCCTGGTATTTGAGGTGAGAAAACCTGGAAGTAGCAATAAGAGCATTGACATGTCTCTAAAAAAATGGGGGTGGAGAGGATGTGGAGAAATAGGAACACTTTTACACTGTTGGTGGGAGTGTAAATTAATTCAACCATTGTGGAAGACAGTGCAGCAATTCCTCAAGGACCTGGAAATAGAAATACCATTTGACCCAGCAATCCCATTACTGGGTATATACCCAAAGGATTATAAATTGTTCTATTATAAAGACACATGCACATGTATGTTCATTGTGGCACTGTTTACAATAGCAAAGACTTGGAACCAACCCAAATGCCCATCAATGATAGACAGGATAAAGAAAATGTGGCACATATACACCATGGAATACTACGCAGCCATAAAAAATGATGAGTTCGTGTCCTTTGTTGGGACATGGATGAATCTGGAAACCATCATTCTCAGCAAACTGACATAAGAATAGAAAATCAAACACCACACATTCTCACTCATAGGTGGGTGTTGAATAATGAGAACATGTGGACACAGGGAAGGGAGCATCACACACTGGGGTCTGTTGTGCGGGTAGGGTAGGGACAGTGGGGGGTGAGGAGGGTGTTTTTCCTCAACATTTTTTAGGTCTATCTGTATTTTAAAAAATAGATCTGGTCGGCCGGGCGTGGTGGCTCACGCCTGTAATCCCAGCACTTTGGGAGGCCGAGGCGGGTGGATCACGAG